ACTCACATATAGAGGATGAAGAATAAGAGTGTTTTTAGACTTCACACATAAACACCTTGGTTTAAGGAGCCCATTGAGTAAATGCTTTTAAAAAATACTTTTAAAAGATGAAGAAAAATTATTTCCCATCTAAAACCTTGTATTTAGTGAAACTTTCCATCAAGTTTGATAATAGAACAAGATGGCTATTATATATGCAAGGAAACAACAAAATTTAACTCAAGTACATTCTTCTGTGCCAAAATTATTTACCAAATGGGAGAGCAAAATGAGAGGGGAAATCAGAAGAAACAAAAATGAGAAGATCCAAGAGCGTACAGACGTGAAATGGAACTCCAGATGATGTGGAAGGGAGACCCCAGGATGAGGACAGCTCTGCTGCGTCATAAGGAACAACTAGCTGGGAACTGTGTGATCCAAGAAACAGACATGTGAGTCATCAGAAAGTCCGCTGATATTGTACTAAAAGAGAACTGTGAAGAGTTTCTACTCTATAGAGGACAAAATAAAGGAGTAGGACCTTCTAAAACTAAGATATTTTTGCACATCAAAAAGACTTCATCAAAAGAGTTAAAAAAGAGAACTCACAGATTGGGAAAAATATTTGATGATGATACATCAGATAAAGGGCTAATATCCAAAATCTATAGATAATGACAACATCCTCACAAGAAAAATACAAATAACCCAGTTTTTAAAATGGGCACAAGACATGAAAAGACAATTTACCAAAGACGACATCCAGGAGGCCAGTAACCATTTGTAGAAATGTTCACATTCGCTGGCAATAAGAGTAATACAAATTAAAACAACAATGATATACCACATCACACTGATACTTTTAGGAAAATTCAGTAAAACAAAATAACATGCTGGAAAGCATGCAGGGAGATTAGAACACTCTTACATTGCTGCTGGGGCTACAGATTTAATTATACAACCACTATGAAAATCAGTATGGCACTTCCTTAAACAAATGAAAATATAATTACCTTGTGGTCCAGCAATCTCTGTAATGAGTATCTACATAAAGAAATTAAAGAATATATTATGAACAGACATATGTCCACCTATGTTTATTGCAGTGGCTTTCATGACAGCAAAAAACATGGAAACAACCCAAAACCTCAATTATAGAAGAATGGATAAACTGTGGTACATTCATACAATGCAATTTTATGCCTCAATAAAACAATGATGATTCTGTTGAACACCACAAAAATGGACAAAACTAGAGAACATTATGCGTAGCAAAGTCGGTCAATCATATAAATATAAATATTAATGGCACCATTATTATAAGGAAAAATAGAGACTTGGATTTTACAACAAAAGCTAAGACTTTGGAAACTGTGAAGGGGCCAGGGACATGGAGGCAACAGGGAAATAAGAGGGATAGGAAATTATAGAGAGAAGAAGGGAGTGAGGGTGGGAAGAGAAAAATAAAAGAAAAAGAACCAGATTTATGAGGGGTTTAATGGGATATTATTGCTGATTTAATTTGTTAAGATGGGCTGTGTAACTATAGAATAGCCTTCTTTAAAAAATAAATGTAAAAACATTTTTAAATGAGAGTGAAGGCTTCACAGCCTAAAACAAAGTAAAACCCCTCTGGGTTCTGTACCCTCTGATCTGCAGATTGATCTGAGTGGTTAAAAAAGGAGGGAAAGTAAAATTGAGGCGAACCTGGAATCTTTAGTGACATACAACTTTATTTCAAACATAGTGGGAAAAGGATTAATAACCAAGTAAAATGAAAAAGGTAGTCATAGATCTACCACTAGAGAAGCCACCAAACCTAACAATCGAACAGGGTGGTTCTAACTGTATAGAAACATAATAATCTAAGAAATACCCTGTAGCATGAAAAGAGATGGGCAGCAACCTAACCCATTCTATGAGGTCAGATTAATTTAATTTAACACAAGAACCATAGAGAGTAACACACATATTGAGAACAATATGGGCCAGAGAAAAAAATCCTAAAATTAAACTTCATTTGTACATCAAAACAATAATACCTGGTGATTAAATGTTATTTATATTTTAAAATACCCAAGGACTGAAAGGCTAAAGAATAAAAGCATCATTTAGCTAGTTATCAAATTTTTTTTAATACAGGAAAGAATAAAGGAATACAAGAAAACTTTCTTGATACAAAAATTAAAAACAGGAGTATTTGTCCTAAATCTACATCAACCATCATATTAATCATAAAATGCTAAGGACACAAAGAATTATCAACTTGCTACTGCTAACTTTACAGACAAATGTTAGATATTGGAGGTCTTAAATGAGATTCTAAATGAAAATAATTTCTAATACTTAACACACGTCAAGGAGTGGAGTGGAGTGTGAGAACGTGTTACAGAGTGAAGACTTTGAAAGCAGAAACCAAGCACCCATTGTCATTGAGTGGATTCAGGTTCAAAGCAGCCCTTTGGGGGAGAGTGGAAGGACCCGGTCCAGGTCCACGGGGTGTCTTGGATTCCAGGGTTTGCAGGTTTGCAGCCACATACTTTCTTTCAGAAAGGGCTGATGGGATTGAACAACCAACCGCTGACTTAGCAGCTGGGTGCTTTCACTACTGCATCACCAGCGCTCATTTTAAAACCATTTCAGTAGATGAAACCTAGGACTGATGAACCTACTGGGACAGCAAGTAGAATAAGGGTTTCGGGGCTGATGGGAGCGGGGAAAGGGAGATGATGTCAAGGAGTCCAGGAAGAAAAAGAATGTTTGGAAACAGATTGTGGTAGCAATTGTACAATTCTGCTTGACGCAATTAAACTATAGAATGATATATGTGTTAATTCCCAATTAACAATAAAATAATTTAAAAGATTGCTTAATGTCAGTAACTCCCCGGAATAAATGGCATGATGATGTGATTTATAAACAAATAAATGTCCTCAATCAGCGCTTGTTAACTTTGTTACGGAGGCGTCATTCTCTTAAATAGTCTTTCCCGTTCATTTATCAAATGGGAGATTATCCTAGGATTCATTCATGGGGAACTAGAATTTTAACTCATGCCTCCCGATTTAAGAAAACAACAGATTGACTTTTCTACGAATTCAGACTATCGGTAGGGAAAACTATTTTAAGCGGTTACTGGTTTTATGGTGACCATTTCAAGAAAAGAATGACGTGGGACAACCAAGACCTTGGGAAGAATGACGGGTTGCCAGGAGCCTGGACTCGGCCATCTTTCTGTTCCACTCTGAAGACACGCCAGGTGGCGCTGTTGGCTAAAAAGAGGAAGCACTCCCCACACAGCCTCCGGCAGACTGCAGACTGAAAAGGAAATCTGGCTGCAACATTCGCGTAAAGGAAATCTTGGGGATTGGACTAGGGGAAACCTGGGGCTACCTCCCCACAAGCATTGCTATTACCCCGCTTGTTTCTAAGGATTTCGATTGCTACCATTTCCGAGAGCCTTCAGCTGGGGAGTGGAAGCGCTTTGGAAGACTCGCGAAGAATGGAGGCCGGCGGGGAGCTTGCGGGGCAGAAAAGGCAAGTACTCCTTCTTTGTGTCTTTCTGGGTGTGTCCTGGGCTGCCGAGGCAAGGCTCCGCTACTTTGCGGCCGAGGAAACTGAGAGGGGTGCCTTTCTGGCTAACCTTGCAAATGATCTGGGGGTGGGGGTGGGAGAACTGGCAGACCGAGGATCTAGAATCGTTTCTGACCAGAACACACGCTTTTTGCTACTCAATCCGCGGACTGGTGACTTGATATTAAATGAGAAATTGGATCGAGAGGAACTGTGCGGCCCCACGGATCCCTGTGTGCTGCCTTTCCAGTTATTACTGGAAACGCCATTCCAGATTTTCCGTGCTGAGCTGTGGCTGAGAGACATCAACGATCATGCTCCGGTATTTCTGGATCGAGAGATTCCCTTAAAAATATTAGAGAGTACCACACCGGGGGAGGCGTTTCTCCTAGAACACGCGCAGGATTCAGATGTTGGAGTCAACAGCCTGAGTAACTACACCATCAGCCCGAATGCCTATTTCCATATTAATATCCGTGGTAGCGCGGAAGGGATGATCTATCCAGAATTGGTACTGGATAAAATGCTGGATCGGGAGGAGGTGCCTGAGCTCAGTTTAACCCTCACAGCCTTGGACGGCGGTTCTCCGCCTAGGTCTGGAACTGCCCTGGTGCGCGTCCTGGTAGTGGACATAAATGATAACGCCCCTAAATTCGCGAAGCCGCTCTACCAGGTGCAAATTCCCGAGAACAGTCCCACGGGCTCTCTAGTTGCCACCCTGTCAGCCAGTGACTTAGATACAGGAAGCAATGGGGAAATCGTTTACGCATTGTTTCATGCCACTGAAAGCATTCTCAAAACGTTTCAAATCAATTCAACCTCTGGCGATCTCCATCTCAGAGCCCCGTTGGACTATGAGGCAATTCAAATGTACACACTAACTGTGCAGGCCACAGACGGCGGTGGACTGTCTGGGAAATGTACTGTGGTAGTTCAGGTAACAGATATAAATGACAACCCACCCGAGCTGCTCCTGTCATCTCTTAATAGTCCAATTGCAGAAAACTCACCTGAAACAGTCGTTGCTGTTTTTAGGATTAGAGACAGGGATTCCGGGAACAATGGGAAATTGATGTGCTCCCTTCCAGACCATCTCCCCTTCGTCCTGAAGCCATCAGTAGAGAACTTCTACACTCTGGTCACAGAGAAGCCTTTGGACAGAGAGCTGAACGCTGAGTACAACGTCACCATCACCGTCACCGACTTGGGGTCCCCCAGGCTGAAAACCGAGCACACCATCAGGGTGCTGGTCTCCGACGTCAATGACAACGCGCCCACCTTCACCCAAACCTCCTACACGCTGTT